CTCTTTCCTCTATTTCCCTTGATTCTCCTCCTGTCCCACTATCATGCTCAGTCCCCACCAGGATTTCAGCACTTCCCGTTTGTTACATTCCCCTTGATCATGCCCTACCAGGTCTCCCACACCCACCTCCCCACCAATTTGGTTCGCTTGTTGTTCCCTTGTCCCTGGAAAAACCTCTTTCTTATACACTGGTGTGTCTATGAATTTGTTTCTCTAGTCTACCCAGACTAACACAACATTACATATATTACCACAGGTATAAATTTGAAAAGGCATTGTTTTGGGGAAAATACACAAGAAAATGTTAACAACGGTCATTTTATATGAGGAGTGCAACTCAAAATTGTGACAAAAAACTGTTGGCTTTATGGCTTAAAGTTTTTAAATGAAGTATCTATTGCTTTTTATTAAATTAAGTAATCATTACAGCTTTAATGAGCGTCTATACTAATTTTTATGTTAAAAGCTACAACTACCACCCCCACAATTATTTCATTAGTTAGCTTGGAAGTTCCTTGAGCTCACTCAAGCTGGAAGGAGATTTGCTGAACTATTTGCTTATTGTTTATGTCAAATATTTCTTGAACTCACTCAGTGAATATTTACTAAGTGCCTATTGTCTGCCACGCATTTACGTATGAGGCATAGCGGCGAGAAACACAGGCTAGAGGTTTCCAGGGAGCTTTCCTCTTAGTAGACAAACAATTGTTGATAAAAAAAAAATAATGCAACATGGCAGCGTGATCCTGACTGGTCTGGGCTGGGAAGAGCTCCTTTCCTATGGGAAAGGGTCAGGAAAGAAGATGGAAGGTCAGTCACCCTGTGGTGCAGGCAGAGAAACCAAGAGAAAGACCCAGAGGCAGGAACAAGCCAAGAACACCATAAAGCTGGCCTTAACTTACTCATGTGCCAGCCACTAATTTGAGTGTTTCCCAGATGTCGGAAGGGGATGGTGGAGGAGTGGAGTGGTATGGTTAAGAAGGCAGAGATGCATTACAGCAGGGGCAACAACAGAGATGATCTTACAGGACACAGTCACAAAGGTGGGATCTCAGCCAATCGAGATGGACAGAATGTAAAAGATTTTAATTAAGTAGGAAAGAGAAAATGCGATGCACTGTTTTAGAATGGACCGAGAGTGGGAGGGGAGGCCAGTCAGGAGGAAACAGGAGTCCAGTGCACTCATTAGAGTGGAAGCAGGAGAAATGGAAAGAAGCAGAAAGGCGTGGGTTCTACTTTCAAGATAGAGTTGACAGCTTGCCGATGGGCACATACGAGTGAGAGAAAAAAGAATACTGAATTACTAGTTCTTCAGTCTTTTTAAAAGTATATTTTTGTTATAAACCAGTCAACGAAGTATAAAATGAACCAAGCTGACCAACCTAATTAGGTAAATTGCTATTTCTAACCCAAACAATCCTTTACGTCTAAATAACCACGTTTCTACTAGAATGATAACTACTTACGTTCCTTTCGACTTCAATGAGCCTGTCTTTCACTTTCAGTAGCTCTCGCGTGGTTTCCTGGGTTTCCCGCTCCCACTTGTGAGCCTCCCCAGACACCGGCGGGGAGCTCTGCACCATCCTTTCCTCGTCTTGTCTCTGCTTGAGAGCCTCATAATTTTTTTTCACCTGAAATATCATTTAAAGTCATTTACTGAGCAGGTAAAAATCTCCAGAGTTTTATTTCTCACAATTAACTCTACACTGGTCCTTGGAATGTGAGGCACACTTCATTTAAAATTGTGATGATATGTAGCAATTGTCACCCATTATGATCAGCTTATGCTTCCTAAAGTGCCTATGATTTCCTCCTAGAAATACTAAGTACACACTGCTCATGTATTGTGTTCCAATAGTCTGTACTTTCAGAACCTACTGATTGTGACAAAAGCTTAAAGAATAAATTGATTGGACATGTTACTAAATACTAGCAACTTCTGTAGAATCATCTCTAGCCAATTTGGGAAACGCACAGGCATCTCTATGTAAAGGACAAATGAAAATTTGAAATATACAATAATGTGACAGATAATTAAATTTCCGTATGCACATCTTTCCCTTTAAAAAGATTATGTTGCTAGGAATGAGCAATGTTAATACATTAATGACTTTATCTTTAACCACATGATTACTGTAACTTATAAGGAATGAGCAATTCAAGAATATATCTCATTCAGGGTTTTCTAATAGGATTATAATCAAATTCTACTTTAAAAGCCAGATAAAAACTAGCAACTTATTGATCATACTGCTGCTGCTTTTACAGTGGTGTGACACCTCCCCCAATTCTGTGCCACCGTCACAGTCACTGGTCTGTTTGAGAACAGTGGTAGGAACCCAGGCGTCAATCCATCTCGTTGAGGACCTTCCTCTTGCGCTGCCCCTCGACTCCAGCAGGCACAGCGTCCTCCTCCAGGGCACGACCCTCCTGACATGTCCAGACTGTATCTTGCCATCCTACTGCGAGGTGCAGACATTCGAGCTGTGTTAGCGTCGTCTGTTCTTCTGGCAGGCCAAGGAAACATTCACTATTTTTTGCCAACACCTTAATTCAACGGCATCAATTCTTCTCAATCTTTTTTACAGTACCAATATTATCATAATGAATTTAATAATTCCCATTTAATATAAATTTATTATTATACTTATCCTGAACCACTCCTTTATCCTAGAAGGTGTATATTATAAACATCTGGATTTACCAAGAACGCTATATTAAGCCAAGGATAAACATGTCTAAAATAGTTCACTGTTTAAGGCAAACTTTATAAAAAAGTTTATATCTAAACCAAAATTGGTACTATTTAGACAGACAGTAATGAGGTGAAACTAAAGAATAAAGATGCATATAACTAAAAATTTAAAGCTTGGCAAGTGATCCTGATTTTCCAGGTTTTATAGTTCAGCATCCCAATAACAAGATCCAGGACATAATTTTATACTGTTACATTAATTTCGCATCTCTCATTTTTATTACTTTCACCAAAAATTAGTCTACTCTAAAACTGTATATAAATTGTGTAATCTTTTCTCCCTCCTGTGCACCCTGTTCAGCTGTTTCTAAGTTGTGAAAGTGGCAGCGGAACTCCACGGTACAGACACAGCAACACTGGTTTAGTCAATGACCAGCTGGATTCAGTTTTTATTATGAATTAAGCTGTTGTAAAAACTTGTTCATTTATGGTTCTGTCTGCTCTCCCAGTAGTCTGGTTTTGGAAATCCTAGGTTTTACTCTGTCCTATAGACGGTGCTATGCATCAAAACTGACTTGATGGCAGTAGGAATGATATATTTGTATTTATCTTCTAAAGCAAACATAAACCTTACTAGATTTTAGTTAAGGATGATGTTGAAACATCAGATGAACTTGAGGGGAACTCCCATCTTAACAATACCAAGTCTTCTAAATTAGGAACATGGCATTCCCGTTTCCAAGGGTTCTCATTACATCGTACATGCTTCCTTGTGTTTATCCTGGATACTTGCTGTTTGGGTATGTCTGCCCCATCAAATGAATTTGGGAAGTGTAACCTGCTCTCTTACTTCCTAAAATAGTGTCAGACTAGTGTTATACGTGACACAATTCACCAGGAAAATCATGTAGGTCTAGATTTCTCTTCACCAGAAAGGTTTTTCTTTTCTCATATAGTTTTATTAGGGGCTCATACAACTCTTATCAACCAGAAAGGTTTTTCATTATTAATCCCATTTCTTTTTGTGTCAGTTTATCTTTTTTGTACTGCCACTCCCTTGCCATTCTTTCAGTGTCTGAGGTGATATCCTCTCACACACTCCTGGTTATTAGATATGAGTGTTCTTTTTCATGCAACCTGGCTGCTGACAGTCGCTCTCTAGTGGATCCTGCCCCACGGCGGCTCCGTGTGTCGGTGGATAGGACCTAGCCGCAGGCTCTCCAGATGTGACCTTCACGGAGCAGGCCTCCAGGCCAGTCCTCAGCAGTGCCTCCGAGTGGGTTCAAAGTGCCAGCTTTCCAGCCCACAGGCAAGCACTTAACCATGTGTATCAACCTGGTTATGGATTTATACATGACATATGATCAATTTCACATATTTTGTCCAAGCTTCAATGTCATATTTATAGCTATCAAAATTTTACCTAGATTCTCAACACAAACAGAGCGCCAGAGTATAGTGTTAGTTATCACACTGAGAACTCCCAGGGAAGCAACAGTTCCACAATTCCAGTATGCTCTACCTTGGAACATAACACATATGCAGGAAACAGGATGGGTTTCAAAAGTTTATGGAAATACAGGATTGAAATGTAACCTTATTCCGCAACATAGGCTCCATCAAGGTCAAGACACTTTTGTAAGCAATGATACCACCAGCCATTTAATCCATCCCTAAAGATCTGCAGGCCCTGGGAATTTAACCCTGCCATTGCAGTCTGAAGAAAAATGGATGTATCTTAAAGAAGCTCTAAGATTAGAAAACAACAACAACAATAAAGTCAGAAGGACCCAGACCAAGAGGGTAAGGCATGGCACACTTGATAATCCTGCCCTGAAGCGGCAAACGAGCAGGAGCACAGTCAGCGGAGAAGCACTTGCTGGTGGAACTTTGATGAACTCTCTCAAAAAGCAGCAGCTGTTACTGTTCTTTGGCACTTCAGAAAGTCAGTAAAAAGAATGCATCCCCCCAAAACTGTTGCCATGCCCTTTGCTCTTGACGGGATCACTTCTCCTTCTTGGTTGATCCTGGCTTGTCTTCAGGGTCGTACTGTCAAAAAGCCACATTGCCTCTCCTGTTAAAATGTTCGCAAGAAATGTTACAGCACCTTGATTCCACGTGCTGAAAATTCTGATAGAAAGCTCTGCTCTGGTCAGCAACTATCTGGGCGTTAGCATTCAATGAGCAGAAAGGGAGTTCAACCTGAAATGTTTAGCCAGAACGGTTTAGCCAGTGAGCTGCAGAAGGCTGGTGTTTCTGCTGTGGATGAGGGCAGGGACATGACTGTTCACTCACAATCGCTGTGGACAGTCTGCCTTTTGTGCAGCATCTTCAACATGTCTCATAACTTCTTTACACGAAGTTATCCACTGGCAAAGTGCTGAGCTGGAGGGAGAGAGTCCATATACACTTTCTGAAAAGCATCAGCGACTCTGACATTCTTCCATCCAACTATCATCAGAAACGTGCTGTTCGTTCTCGCTTCAATTTGAGCAGATTTCACACTGCTCTAATATGGGTGCTTACCCTGCTGAGTACTTCAAAATAAAGACCTGGTTCACACGTTATGACAAGTTAGTTTGAGTTTATTTTGGTGGAAAACTATGCATGTGCTTTCCATAATACGTTACTTCCCCACGATCTCTTAGACCTCCCCGTACAGCATAGCTATATGACTATCACCATGTTTAAAATGCTTCTCTGTTTTATAAAGATACATGCTAAGTCTTCATGGAAACAAGGTTCGCAGTTTTATTTTCTACTTAATATAAAAAGGTAACGCCAATGATTTACAAGAAAATTACTTACTGTTTTAAGTTCTTGGCGTAACTGCTGGTTATAATTTGTGGATTCTTCTAATCGAGCCTCTAAAGCTGCAATTTTTTCTTCTTTTATTTCTAGAGATTTCTTTAGAGTGGATTCTAATTTTGATTCCAAAAGTTTGTACCTATTATCCAAGTATAAAAGTAACATAGGTAATCACTGGAGATCAGAACATTATTTAAAAAATTATTCATGAGCATAGATGACAATGTCACATACATAAATTGGTCTTATATAATTGTGTTTTTTTTAAAGGCAGATTGATTTACGCCCCCCTCCTTTTCCTCATCTTTATAATGCATCCCCGCACAAGAACTAACACAAATTATTTAGTAAACTGAGCTCTAGGTTACAGCCTGGGCTGTCAGGAGAAACAATTAATGTTCAAAAACAATTATCTGGAATTTCTAAGTCCCCAATTATTCCTTTCAGCTTTACTAGAACAGAAGCAATACAGAGAGTCAGAGGAGTTGATCCCAAGGTCTCAATGGAAAGTGTCTAGAAAAGAACGATGGAATATATGTGCGAATGTGTTGCATACAACTGATGTATGGTTTGTAACAAGAATTGTAAGAGCCCCCAATAAAATGACTTAAAAAAAAAGAGGACAGATTCGGTATATAATATAGCATTTGCCTATGATATCAAGAGTAAAGGTTTGTACAAAGACCTTTAACAAGTACTTGACACTTCCTGAAGGCTTTTTTCCTTCATAGTACAGAGTTAATTTCAGATTCTCATAATTCCATAAATCACAAAATTCTTATACTTAAGGACCCTGGTGATACAACTAAATAAAAACCTACAGTTAGGGGACATTTTACCACATGGTTTCTTATTGTCATTAATTTTTACACATTTATCTTCTGCTCAACCCAATTTTAAGCTTACTTACTGGGTAGATACAGAGAACAAACCTTACTCGTTTTGACATCTGTTCTAAATATTTTAAAAGCATGTACTGAATCTAATTTTTGAACTTGTTATAACTAGCTCTCCAAAGAGATACGTCCCGTGAGGAGGACTGTGGATACTGACAGGCAGATGGGAATGCTCAGCACAGAATGAATGCAGGATGACTGCTGAGGACTTACGCACCCTAGGAAGTAACTGCACTGAAGGAGAATCCGAGGGAGAAAAAGCAAACCCTGCTGGGGAATGAATTCTGACTGAGAGCAACCCTGGGGTCTGAGTAGAACTCTCCACTGGGCTGCAAGGCTGTAAACCTTACAGCGGCAGGCCGCCACATCTTCACCTGTGGAACGGCTGGCGAGTTCAAACTGCTGGCCTTTGTATTAGTGCTTTAATCATTTCACCATTATGGTTCTTTTGACAGGAAAAAACTAGTGAACGAGATAGAAAAGAGTGTTCACACAGCATACTCTTTATAATTCTGTCACTAAGTTGAATAATTAGATGCCAGTTCCATAAATAGACTGCATAGTCCTTAGTGGCAGGACTCACTCACTCACTCCATCAGGTCGATTCCGACTCATACTACCACCACAGGACAGAGTAGCACTGCCCCAGTGGGACAATTATTCTTTACAGAAGCTCTCTAATGGCCTAGTGGGTTATGTGCTGGACTGCTAACCTCATGGCCAGCAGTCCAAAACCACCAGCCCCTATGCAGAAGATGAAGCTTTCTACTCCCATAGAAATGTATAGCCCTGGAAACACAAAGGGTCATTATGAGTCAGAACAGACTTGAAGGCAGTGAGTTTTTAAAAAAACTCTTTACAAGAGCAGAAAGTCTCATCCTTCTCCCATAAGCAACTGGTGGTTTCGAACTGCTGACCTTGCAGTTAGTAGTCTCATGCATAACCCATTAGCCACCAGGGCTCCTTGTATCTTCAAAGGGCGCAGAAACTGATACATAGTTAGAAAGGTTAGACTAATAAAGGAATTAGGAACCCAGTTTGAGATTAGAGGGGAAGAGGCTGGAACAATAAAGTATTTTATGACTATGAATTTTTATTTTCTTTATGACATAAAAGACCAAATCACCATCTGAGAGAGAAGGTGACCTAGTGGCTTAAGACCATTCCTTTTCCTAATCCCTTTACATTTAATCTAATTAACAACTGCTCTCAGTCCTATTTCTATAAGCTTCAGCCCAACACACAGCATCATCTCCGTATACCACTGCCTCACAACTTCCTTAGTACTGACAGAATAAATGAAGGAACTGCATTTGGCTTATACCACCACAGTAGCTTTCTGAGGCTCCTAAACCACTCCTTTTAAAATGCTCCTTTCAAAGCATCTAAGAATTGCGCAAACATTACCTTTTCTGCTTTTTTAGATACCTCAATTGGTGTCAGCATTCTCACTACCTCTACCCCCACTGTCCCACTACCATTCATGTAGCCTTTGCCCCCACGCTGGAGGGTTACTGTTGTCAATCTGAGCTGACACAGACAATTTTCCAAGAGACAATGCTGTGAAGTTTAAACATGACATCAGGGCATACTTTTAGTTCAAGGTAGTAAAGTCATTCCAAAGCAATCTATTTCAAAGTTTATGCTTTTATCTAACTGCTTCTGTCTTCTGCATCATATATCCTTCCTCCCCCATTATTTTCATCTAGCATACTACTGTTGCTCTTCCAGATTCAATGGAAAGATTATCATGTCTGTCATACTTGATGATCAGCAAGTAATACCTCAAATTTAAGGTTGTGTAGAAGTGCTAAATAGCATTAAGAGTTAGGAAATTTATAGAGTAGATGCATAGTTAATGGTTTTGTGCATGTACACACTTATACACAAAATGAATAAATCTGTCTACTTCCAAGTCCACCCTTTTATATATACACAAAAACAACAAACAAAAACTGAACAGGCATGTAACTACATGGCATGGATGAAGATGAGCTTTTAGGTAAATTGACTGTGTATTTAACAGAAGGAGATGCTGTTAAATTCCTTATTTTATTTTCATAATGACAACTCCAAAGCTTCTGCTACTTGGGTAGAATTCTTTTCTCCCATTTTAAACATTTTATTTTTGTTTTGTTACCTTGCATTGATATTAGATTAATTTAATCATTTACCTACTTGATTCTTACATTTTCCTTAAAACTCTCTATAAAGGAGGAAAGGGACCAGAAACAACAGTTAAAAAACATACGTAATACGGGACTTTTTTTCCCCCCTGCCAACATAGTGGGTTTAGATTTAATATAGCAGTTCTCATTATGAGGGTGTTAATCACAGTTAATATACAGGCTTGCTTTTTAAAACAATAAATCTCTTCTCCATTTCAATGTTCAATATAAAGTTTTTAAAACATAAATCACTTCTACTTTTCAATATTAGAAATGAATAGAATTTTCTAAACATTTTCCCTCCAAAGAAATAAAAATTTCAACTTTGGATTGTATTTGATATGTGAGTATAACATTAACTTTGGATAGAACAAAACACAAACCCAGTGAAACAAGAGGCAGTAATTAAGACCAAACGCTACTGCTTTCCCAGGATTCTGGACAAGGGGTTCCTTCGTATTTCATGTGCCCCGAGACTTGTCAAGCCAGGTTCAGTCTTATGTTATTTTTCTCACATCCTTTCTAATCAGCAAATACAAACCTAAAGCCTGCACTGTCCAGTACATCTTGATGTGACAAGAACACTTCCCCCATTGAACATACATCAATTTGTTCCCATTCAGAGGAAAACATCTAAAAGGCAAAGCTACCCTATTAGCTATCTACATCTTTGGGAATGTTCAGAGAAGGTCAGTTTTAGTAATTTCAATAGCACAAGGTTTGACTCAGGAGGCCCTTCAAAGCCACATCTGCCAATTTCCCTTTCGTGCATACACCGCTAGACAAGCACAGATCCCTGTAACGCTAAGAACCACTCCTAACGAGAGCAATCGCATCTCCTGCTTCCACTACTTCCACTGCAGGCAGCACGGAGAGCAGTGAAATCAGGCCCCACACCAACTGGGTAGAAGCTGAGGGCCTGATGCTGTAATCTTGCGGTGGCTGGATCTCGAGGCCGATGGTTCCAAAGAAATGGAGGGGCAGATATATGTAATTCTATCTGGTTTTACACACCCCGTTCTAGGGACTCAGGTGCAGAAGCTAAGCGGTCCCACACGACACTGCCTACTTCCTGGAAGCAGCCATTACAGGAACCAACAGGGGGAATTTTAAAAGGCCATGGAGAAAACGTAATGGAAAGATATTGGAATTTTTCTACTATTTTAAAGCCCCCTCATAGCTGTTTTCTATGGCCACGACATGCTTGTACAACAGCAGCAAAAACTGAACTGTTTGTCAAACAACGTTACTACCCACCTGTCATCAGTACTCTGTTCATCTTGTAAGAGACGCTCTTTATTTAACCCTATTTTTTCAAGCTCATGAGTTAACTTTTCAAGATCATTGTTCATTTGTTGAGTCTTCAATTTTTCGCTTACCAAATCCTTATTTGAAAGAAAATGCAAAAGTCATATAAATATCAGGAACATAAAACATCTAACAACTCAACCAAGACCCCAACGACTTCCACTCTAGGAATACATACAAGGAGAATTCAAAAAGTTCATGGAAAAATTCCATTCTCTTTCAATTTCATTTTTTCCAGCAACCTTTTGAAGCATCACCCTCATATAACTCAAACCAGTAAAGATAGAAATGTTAAACCTTTACTATTAAAGAAAATGAGTAAACAACAAAGTCATGACCTAGTTATTTAGCATCCGTTCCACTCTTCCATAAATACTTTCTTTTAATGCAAAGGTAAAATACGTAGAAACTCTTTACCTGTGCATAATCATTCTTAGGCTGGTGTGTGCTGGGTGGTGTGGTGGTGGGGACAAAGCCATCCACTCCTTAATAATGAGCTAGAACGTCAACATGCATTTCCTCCCTTGACTGTCTACTGGACAAATCTCACTGCTTTCCATCACAAGCCCCCCTTTCTCCCAGTGTAGGAAGCCCCAATATAATGATCGGAATGACTAAGGGGTACTTAGAAGTTTAGGGATAAAGCAACACAAGGGAAAATGAAATTCTTAGGTCCCCTTGTCCTTGGTTCTAGTGCTGTTACTTGCCAAAGGTTGGCAGTTCAAACCTACCCGTAGGCACCTCAAAAGAAAGCTGAAACCCTGTGGAACAAGTGCAGGTCTGCAATCCATGGGGTCACAATGAGCTGGAAATGACTAGGGTAAGTGGTGTGGTTTTCTGGGCACAGTCTTCTAGTAAACACGCAGACTGTTCAACGGGACTTCCTGCCAGCAAGCAGACACTGTCTCACCTATAGCGTAGCACCAACACTATCTGTCGGTTTGTCATGCTTCGGTGGTTTGCTTGTTGCTGGATGCTATGCCACCAGTATTCAAGTCGCAGCAGGGTCGCCCAAGGTGAACAAGTTTCACCAGACCTTCCGGAGTAAGATCAGACTACAAAGACGGAACAGGCCATCTACTCCTGAAGTATGAGTCACTGAAAACCTTATGAACAGCAATGAAACATGGTCAGACATAATGCCCGACGAGTCCTTCAGGATGAAGGCCTCAAAATATAATGGGAAGAGGTGACTCCTTTAAGTAGAGTTGTTGTTCAACATGATAGGGATGGAAAAATGTAGGGGGACGGAGCCTGACTTTTGCAGACAGGGCATAACTCAAAATAAACAGCTGCACACATCCATTACAGATTGGAACATGGAATGTATGAAGTATGAATCCAGGAAAACTGGAAATCACCAAAAATGAAATGGACCGCATAAAGATCAGCATCCCAGGCATTAGTGAGCGGAAATGGACTACACTGACCATTCTTTATAAGTCATAAGCTTACTAGGCCAGGAACAACAAATTCAAGAGGAATAATGCCACATTCGTTGCCAAAAACATTTCAATATCTATTTTGTATTATAACCTGCCTGTGAAAGGATAATTATCTGGATACATTTGAACAACATAAATGGAGCCTGTACACCCGCATCTTACAAATGCACAGGAATCAAACAGAATACACGGACAAGGAGTGATGAGAAAAGCTTAGCCACCAAACCTGGGCCAGGGGCTGACTGTGGGACAGACTGGTTATTTAGGTTACAGTTGAAGAAAATTAAAACAAGTCCATAAGATCCAAACTATAACATTGAGTACATCCCACTTGAATGTGTCTAGAACATAAAACCAACAATAACAAGAAGAGATTTTAAGCATTAACACTAACGACAGAAGACCTGACGAGCTGCGAGATGACATTAAGAACATCATATGTGAATAAGGCCATTACAAAGACAAGAAATTAAAGGAGAATCTGAAACTTGCTCTTGAAGCAAATGGAAGAATGATGAAGTAAAAAAGCTGATCAGAAAATGTCAGAGGGCAGCGTGAGAAGACACAGGTTATAAAGAAATAGGCAATGATCTGGAGTTAGAAAGTCATGGGTAAAGAACACACTCAGCACCTCTTTCAAGCTGCACGAACTGAGGAAGGAAAGCATCAAGCCCTGAGTTGCTACATTCAAAGATTCTACGGGCAAAATACTGAAAGATGCAGGAAGCAGTGCATGAGGGAAGGAAAACACAGTCACTGTACCAAAAGAATTTGTTGACATTCACAGTCATTTCACGAGATAGAGGATCAAAAATCACTGGTACTGAAGAAGTTAAAGATGCAGAGAAGACATTAGCCTAACATGGTCCCCCAGGAATTGGTGGAATAGCAATTGAAATGTTTCAACAAGTTGTCTATACTAGGAAACCTGGAAGACAGCTACTGAGCCAAGTAACTGGGAGAATGAGATCCCTATTTGTGCCCATGACCCGAGATAATGCAGAAACCAACTAACAGTAAACATCAGTACTATCACATGCAAGTCAAATGTTGAACTAAAGATCATTAAACAATGTTTGCTTAGCAGTACACCAATAAGGAGCTGCCAGAAATTCAGAACAAGGGATATCATTGCCGATGTCAGCTGGATCTTGAATGAAAACAGAGAATACCAGTCAGATCTTTACATGCAAAGGGATTCCACTGTGTGGATCATAATAAAGTATGATAACATTAAGAAAAATGGGTATTCTAAAAGATCTCGTTGACTTATGTGGAACTTGTGCACAGATCAAAAACAGAACAAGGGAATACTACACATGGTTTAAAGTCAGGAAAGGTATGGCTAAGGGTTGTTTTCTCTTACCACACTTGTTCAATCTGTATGCTGCGCAAATAACACAAGAAGGTGGCCTAATATAATTTCAGCATTAAGATTGGAGGAAGATTTGTTAACAACCTTTGCTATGACACAACCTTGCTTGCTGCATGCAAAGAGGATTTGAAGCATTTGCTGATGAAGATCAGACTGCAACCTTCAGTATGGATTAAAACTCAATGTAAAGAAATTTAAAATATGTATACAGTGAGTCTTATTCACATATTTTAGTAATAACTTGAAATAAAAGTTTAAAATCATAATATATTAATTCAGATGCCACCTGTAAACCTTGTTACAGTAAAAATAAAACAAAACAGAATTTGTAGGTCTCTTGTTTAACGAAACAAAACTGCCAGGGAGTCAATTCCAATGCACAGCAATCCCAAGGGCTATTTTAAAAAATGATTCTACTTCTAACTCCAATTTCCTTCTCGACATTCCAATTTCCTACTGTACGTTAAGATAAAAATTACCGAAGGATTCTGATAAAACTTTAAGATTATTAAAAAAATATTTCCTGAAACTTAGCCAAATGCTTTTACCTCTCGTAATGTTACCAGCGTTTTTCCATCAATAGTCGCTCTTTTCACAAGCTCCTTATTTTCTTTCTCTAATTCTTTCAGGCGAATGCAGGACTCTTTACACACCCCAATTTCTTTGAATAGGGTTTTGTTTTCTTTTTCCAAATTTCCGATTCTTACATTATTTTCTTCTAGTGTGGTATCCTTTATTTCTGCTTGTTGTCTGAGTCTCTTATTTTCCTTCTCCAGTTGTTTCTTATCCTTTTCCAGTTGAGAGGTCTCTTGTTCTAATGACTTATTTTCTTTTTCTAGCTGTTCTAGTCTTTTGCTAGATATTTTTAACTCTTCTAGGTTTTTTTGCAGTGTTTGATTTTCCATCTCTAAATCCTGTAGTTCACTCTCTAACTGCTGGATTTTTTTATTACTGTTTTCCAGAGCTTTCTGTAGCCTTTGATTCTCTGTATCTAAACCCTGGTAGCTAACTTCTAAACGTTCTGTTTTCTTGAACGATGCTCTCATGACCTCCAGCCCCTTCTTCAATTGTTCTTTCTCACTTTCCAGCTCTTTATTTTCCAATTGTAGCTGGGCCATTCTCATGCCTGCACACTTCAGGGACTCCACGCTCCGTCGCAATTCCAAGTTTTCCTCATCAAGTTGGGAATTCTCTTTTTCCAGGGATTCTAACTGAAAAGTCAGATTTTTAAAGCTATCCAATGTTTTTTTTAATTTCCTGTTTTCTCTTTCTAGCTCTGAATTTTCTTGTTCTAAGGCCTCAGTTTTTTCACAAGTAATTTTTAAATTAGTTATCTTTTTCTGCAACAATTCATTTTCTTTTTCAAGATGATGTAACTCATTCTCAAGTTCTTCGGACCGTTCTCCTTTTTCTTTATAATGCTCCAGTTCTTTTCTAATTTGTCTTTTTTCAAATTCAATCTTGCTTAGCTTGCTACTTGTTTCTTTGATAGACTCATGGAGAATTTTGTTTTCTTTTTCAATATCTTTCACCCTTGCTTCCGCACTTATCTGGGAGCGCTGCCGCAGGGAGGACACCGTTTGATTCAGATGTTCATTTTCCTGTTCTAGTATTTTAATCTAATTCAAAGAAGAGAGGAGAAAGTTAGAATCCATTAATTGAGTAAAAATATTTTCAATTACACAGTTTTCCCTTCAAAACTAACAGGGAAAGCAGAGCATAGAAGCAGAGCATAAACCATGTTTATTTGACTTTCAATTCCGTCAAGTATTTACTGAGATAACATGATGTCTTTATATTGCCAGAATGTTGACGTTCAGGTCATAATCTAAAGAAGTGGTTATGGCACAATGATTTAATATTAATCAATGGTCAACAGGAGTATGCTTCGAATTCAAATCTGAATATAGGCAAAACACGCAAACCCTCCTCAAGGAAGTAACTTTTACTCTGAAAAGCCTATACACGAGTCCTCAATAAATCTTTGCTTTAGTTATATGTATGCACTAATTTTTAGAATTCTAATTAGTAATTGTCAAAAATAACGAAATCACCTAATACATTTGAGTACTGATGCAATTTATAGTGTTGGCTAATATAAAGGTTTTTAAAGCTTAGTGTGTGTAACAGTCTCTCAAGAAGCTTGCTTAGTTAGCTCTTGAATTTGTAGGTCTATAGGTCTAAGGAATCTGCATTTTTTACTACCATACTTAAAGATAAATCTGATATAGGTGGCCAGAGTAGTAACTTGACAATATAAAATACATAAGGCAAAGCACACTTCTAATAAATCAACAGAAAACAAAAAAAAAGGCAAGTGACCCCCTCCTTCCAGTTTTGTTTCTTCTGGAAACAGATTTGACAGCATCTACGAGGATTCCTGCCAGAGTCTCTCTTAGTAGTAGAGTCAGAGTGCAGCTGGATACCTGTGATTCTACTCAGAGACTTTGTATCTGTGGCCTACTCCATAGACTTGAAAGAACAAGTGGTACTGAAAATGCTATGTGGCTGTGGGGTGTTACCAAGTCAATTCTGGCTGACCTGGTTCTTTGAGATTTTTTATATGAGATTATTAAGCACTAAAGAGATTTTTAATAATTCTGAGCTTTTGCTTAAACTTCTCTAAAACACATGGGATAGAAATGAGGTAAAAATTGCGCTACTGCTGGCAGATGCCACTAAGTCTGTTCTGACTTATTGTGGGCCCATGTGGAACAGAACGAAACACCGCCCTGTCCTGCATCATCCCCATAATTGTTATGCTTTAGCTCACTGATGCTGCCACTGTGTCAATTTTCATGAATCCTCTACTTCACCAAACATAATGTCCTAATTCAAAAAGTGGCTGCTCCTGACAACATGCCCCAAGTATGTGAGATAAAAATCACACTATCCTTGCTTTAACTAGTGTTCTGGCTGTACTTTTTCCAAATCAGATTTATTTGTTCTTCTGGTAGTCCATGGTACTTTCAATTTTCTTCACTAGTACCATAATTCAAATGCATCAGTTCTTCTGCCGTCTTCCTTCTTTACTGTTCCACTTTAACATGCATATGAGGAGACTGAAAGTACCATGGTTTGGGTCAGGCACATCTCCTCTTCGCGGAGACATCCTAGCTCTTCAGCACTTTCTAGAGGTCTTGTGCAGATCTCCCCAGTGCAATCTGCCCTTTGATTTCTTCATGGCTGATTCCATGAGCAAGGACTGTGGATCTAGCGAAACGAAACCCTTGACAATTTCAGTTCTATCTCCATGTATCATGTCGTCTAGTGGTCCAGTTGTGACGATTTGGGTTTTATTTACGTTGAGTTGCAATCCCCACTGTAAGGTTTCAGTTTTTGATTTCTAAAAGCAAGTGCTTCATGTTTTCCTCATTTCTTGTACATCATAGGCTATTAAGCCTTCCTCCAATTCTGATGTCCACTTCTTTTTCATTTGGTTCCCATGCAGATTGTCAAGCATGGTAAAATGATACAACCTTGACACACTCTTTCTGAATTTAAACCATGAGTAGTATTCTGTTCTTTTCTGATGACGGACTGTTTTCCATATACAAGTTCTACATGAATAGTGACGTGTTCTAGAAGCGCCATTATGTGCAATGTTATCCATAGTTTATGATCCACACAGATAAATGCCTTCTCATATCACACACACACACACACACACACACACACACACACACACGCAAACATCTTTCCGAGGGGTTCTGATTTCAGCCAACATCCAGCTGTTGTCAGCAATGATCTCCCTCGTGTCATGCCCTTTTCTGAACCTTTCTTGATTTTCCAGGAGCTGCCTCTTGGTATCCTACTGCGACCATTGTTGAGTGATCTTCAGCAAAATTTTACTTGCGTACGATACAAACGATAGACAATTTCTGCATCCTCTTGGGTCTTTGTTCTTTGGAATGGCCACAATTATGGGTTTCTTATCAGACAAGTGAGGATTTCCAATGCTTGCTGAAACATTTCAATTGGTATTCCATCAATTCCTGTAACTTTGTTTTTGGCTAATGACTATAGTACAGCTTGGACTTCTTCCTTCAATACCACTGGTTCTTAATTATATCTTCCTCTTGAAATGGGAATGTAAACTAGCTCTTTTTGATACAGAGACTTTGTATTCTTTCCATCTTCCTTTGCTGCTTCCTGCACCACTCAGTATTTTACTGATGGACACCTTCTGTGGTAGTTCCATAATCTGTTGTCAATTTGAGACTTAAGAGAGAAGGGGAGGAGTTTAGCCTGTCAATGAGATCGCAGCTGGATGGCCTCATTTGGAGGTGCTATGGAGATCAATAGCTCACTGGAGGTGAGACTGCTCACTTTCTGGGACATTTACTGACAACGAGCCTGATGGAGCTACACTGATGCAGCCAGAGCCCGGCAAGCTGGAGAAGCCATGAGGAGGGCTCTGCTAGTGCTGAGAGGCTTCTACGATCACTGGATCCACAAGACTTTCCACCCAGTGGCCTGTGATCTTCCTGCCTTCGGCATTATTGCATGGCTGCGTGAGTCTAAAGAGGAGTTTATGGTCTAGTATTGGACATATGGGCTAATATTGGACTTATGGACTTGATCTGGACTGAGCTGGGATGTTTTCTTAACGTACGACTGCTCTTGTATATAAAGCGCTTTCTTGTACATGAGTGTCTCTAAATTTGTTTCTCTAGTCTACCCAGACTAATACATACACCTTGCATTGTGAATGGGGGATTTTAATTTTCTCTTCAATTTTTGCAGCTTAGGAGATGCTAAGCATGTACTTTCTTTGGGGCTTTCAAACTTTAGTTTTCGCACATTACATTATGATACTCTGTCTTCTTGAGCTATCCTCTGAAAATTCTTGTTCAGCTCTTTGACTTAATAATTTCTAAAATTTGTTTAGCTATATAATGCTCAAGAGAAGTTTCCTCTGATATTCGCTTTAGTCTGTGCTTTCTTCTCTTTGTTTCTAATGGCTTTTTTCTTTCTACACGTATGATGTTCTTGATGTCATCCCACAGCTCATTGGGTCTTCTGTCATTAGTGTTCAGTGTCAAATCTGTACTTGAAATGTTCTTGAAATTCAGTACTCATCATCGTATTATTTCTGGACTTAATTTCATTTTCTTTAGCTTCAACCTGAAGTTGCATATAAACAATTGTCTGTTCCACAGTCAACCCCTGGCCCTGTTTTGGCTGACGATACTGAGTTACTGTTAACTTAAACTGCGTTCGTTACTTTAAAATCTTAAAAATTCTAAAATATTTTCTTTCAATGTGACAAGCATTTTGTTTAAAATAGTATTTGTTTATTTTGTTTAGTCAGAAATGACTTACTTACCTGTCTCTCTGAATTTTCTCTAAGTGTTTCTATTGTTTTTTCAAGCTGAGCTTTCTCCTTCATTAGATCCTTGCTTAAATTCTGACAATTCTGAAGACTTTGCTTCTCTTGAATAATCTCATTCTCAAGAATTTGAACCTAGAAAAAATTAAATCACAAAAGCAATGTCATTAAGTATTTTTACAACAGTACAAACATGCAAAACAAAGAATATCAGTGAGTACAGAATAAAATGTAGTTTTAATATCCTAATGGTAAACTGGAGAAATGAAAGCCTATTGATCAAATGTTTGGTGTTTTTAAGTAATTATTCCTTTTTTAAAGGTATGATAATGTTACTGTTTTGTTTCAAAGAAGTACTCCTTACTTGTTGGGGGATCTACATGGAAACAGTCAAGGATGAAATGACAGCATGGCTACGATTTGCATCAAAATGATCTAGTGGTGCTGGGGAAAACAGGCAGAAGTAGAAATTAAATACTAGCTCTACGTGAATAACTGTTGAAGCTGAGTAAACAATACATAGGAGGTCATTCTTCCTACAACGTTCACATATGTGGAAAAAATTATAAGTTAAAACATTATTGAGGGTACCTTTTACAAACTAAATAATATTCTACCACCATCCTACTTACATGTATTTTTACAATTATTTTCACACATTACATTAAACATTAAATTTTCATTTACCTTTTTATTAAGCCTTTGATTTTCTTTTTCAATTTTGAGGATTTTAGATGTGTTGCCTTCTACAGAACCCATACTACTCCGAAGCTCTTCCACAGTTTTTGTCAAACTTTGATTTTCCATCTCCAATTTCAATAACCTACTTGATGTGAGCTCATTTACCTCGTGGCCCAGGGATTTCTGTGGTGCTGTGATATTGAAAAACACGATTGGTAAGACTTCATACTCCTTACTATTTAAAACATTGCATGTAAATATGTGTCACCTAGTCCTTAGCTTTACAAAACAAATAAAATTACGAGATAGACACAAGGAAAAAAATAGGGTAAGAGAAGGTTAAACCTGCAATTTTCATGAGTACATAAGCAAGATGTTTAAAGCACAGAAATAACGACTGAGATCCAGCCCTAGATTTCTTATCTAGCAGCGAATGCCCAAGTCACTCATATAAGTGAGACTATGGCTGCTGTTCATGTGAAATACACTAGTGCTAGTCCTGTGCGCCTCACATTGACGCTGTGTGTATTGAGTAAGCATGTGGCTATCCTGTGTTACCCTGCATAACAATTACAGGAGGGCAGCACAAAGAGAGCAAACACCAATGTGACTCTGAGAAGGTCGGAGAGTGTGCACTGGCTGTGTGGAGGACGTCTACTGATGCTGAAGTACAAGAAGCACATCGACTCCATATTGCCGAGGGAAATCGCCTTTCTACAGAGATTTCAGCATGACATTCTCTCAACACAAAAACTTGGTTTCTAGTTCTGGAAGTGATGCTCCTCTCAACATCAGTAAGCTAAAAGTAATTATTAAAAAGAAATTAGACCAGATTCATTGAAAATTTTGATGACATAAAAATAACAGTATTAACTAGTACATATACAATTTACTTCTAAATCCTAAATATTTCACTAAGGGAAATAGGTAAGAGAAGGATTTCTCTTGTCTGTTTTTAAGCATGTTTGAAATTCTCCATCATAAAGAGCAAAGCACCACATATAAAAACATATATCCCTACATGGATATATTATCTTCTAAATTATTAAAATAATTACACATTTTACAGTAAAATACCTCCCAGAGTTTAAGAAAGCATCAATTTTTATTTCCAGCTTTTGTTTTAGTTGATATAGTGCTAATCTTTCATAAAATGCTGGCATACTGCAGTAGCCACTTTTTTTTTCTTTAAATTTTTTTTTTAATTGGGGGTTCTTACAGATCTTATAACAATCCAAAATTCAATTGTATCAAGCACACTTGTACATATGTTGCCATCATTTCAAAAACATTTTCTACCTGACCCCTTGGTTAATCTTTTTTTTTTCCTGTCACTTATTTTTTTATTGCCAAATCTTCTTTAGTAAAACTGTCACTTACCACCTACTCGTATAAGAATGACAGTCTTGGATAACCTACGAGGCTGTCCTACTCTGGTAGAATAGACTCATTAGCACACAATAAACATTCATGACTGGGCTACAGTACATGACATACAATAGTAACACTCATTACTATGACGGTGCGTAAGGCCACACTACACAGAATCTTCAGTGACGCTACAACATATATTTAATAGCATGGGAAAGTGCTATCTTAGCTGGAAAAAAGTAATCTGAATTATATACGCTTTAACCCGATGGTGTTTAAGATTGTTATCAAATTTTCTGAAATGTAAAAATTATTTAAGAAATTCACTAGTGATTTTTATTTTTTCACATTTTTTGCATATTTTCTACAAAGAAGTCACTTGTATGGTTTTTTAAAGGCAAAAAAAATTCACCAATTAACAGGAGTATCTAGGTGTACAGCCCCAACTATGATCCATTATAAAAAAACTGTGATGTAAGGGTAACATTTGGAACACTTCCTAAAAAATATTAACAAATTTAACCCCCACACCAACCAAGGGAGGACTTAACTATTACAGTCTCCACTTAACAGATAAGAAACTGCTAACTAGTTGAATAATTTTAATTATTCTTATAGAAACCATTTGCTTAAATGCGGTACTTTTTAAATTAAGACATTTTATATGGAACAATATAGTACCCCCAAAGTTACATTTTATCTGGGGCCTTTTATTATCTCCAGGGAATAAATGGGTTAGTAGGTAAAATCCTATCATGGGAATTAGCATGTAGACTGATGAAAAGCCACACGCAAATCAATGCTGCTGCCCCTGAGTGGCTCTGACGCACAGAAACGCTGCCTGCAGAGCAAGGTTGAAGGGCACCTGTGAGTTTCTGGATGGACCATCACCCTTTATGGAAGTAAAATGCCTGGAGTTTTGAAGTACTGATCTCGCACTTAACAGCCCACTATGTAACCACCGTGCCACCAGGGCTTCTGTGTATTGAGGGCACATATCATGAATTGCCTCAATTCCCTTTATTCTAACAACATATGCACACGTTGGCTTCCTAACTAGGTTTTGCTCTTAGACAAAGCACAGGCTCACTCATTAACATGGGCTCACTGTTTTGCTGACAGATGCATATACTTCTCAAAATAAAATGACTACAGTAGCACTCGAGGGCCTTTGTAAGACTAACATGTTGCACCGCCCAAACAGCTGGTTAAATCTTTCACTGCACTCCTGGCACTGAGTTGTAAGCCAGGCAAAGCTAAGGACCAGGATGAGGCATGAGGTAACACCTGCCTGTGAGAAATCAAATCCAAGAAGGCAGCTGGTTTTCTGAGGTATTTCCAGGTGAGGGAAATGCAGAACGGAAATAAAATGTCCAGAAACTTACTCAATTCGACTGAATTTATTCAGTCATCCATTCACATATAACATTTGAAATACCTTCAGAAAGTTCACTAGTTCTGGATATCTGTTCCAGCTCCCAGCCAAGATGTAATGATTCATCCATACTTTGCTTTTGTGCCATTTCCAAAGTCATATTTTCTTCCATCAATTCTTCAATTTTTTTCCTATCCATATCACGTTCCTGTTATTGGCATAGGTAGGCGAGTAAGAACAGAAAGTAAAAACCAGAAATGGTCATACACTTTTCAAGCTAATATATTTTACTACTTATAAATTTTGTTTTATTTTTTTCAGAAGTCAATTAATGTAAGAATGGAATCTGAGCTCCTTAAAAATGTCATAGTTTTAAAGCAGTACTTATTATAGGTGCCTGGGATCCTTTTGGGGACACTGTGAAAATGTTCCTTCTTAAGACAATATGGTGTTTTGGTGATATAATAAAAGAATTCTAACTCATCATTTTTGGCAAATATGTTTACTTGTGTATTTTTAAGGTATGAGCACACATTTAACTTACAGCCTGCCCCTCCTCCCCCAAAGACAGAGGACAAAATAAATCATACACCTCTAACAGAAACAAACATTTCTACAATCCTGTATTGATGGAGTGTGAAGCAGGTAAATTCTTAGCTCTCTCCTCCCTGCTAGAGCCTCAAGGACACGAGTCACCCTTGTAATTATGCAGACGTCAGCTTATTCTTGGTCATTTTTCTTAGCGGCCGCAAGCCTGGTCTACCTCATGATACATACCATCTCCATATCATGCAGCTTAGCCTTTAACTGTAAACTCTCCTTTTCTAGTTCATGTAATTTATCAGAACGAGCTCGAGTTCCTTCTAGTTGGTCTTCCAACATGGCTTTAGTTTCTAATAAAACTTGATTGTCTTCTTTTAATTCCTATAAATATTTCAAATAGACTTATCACAAACACATGAATATATCTTCACTTTAAGCTACAGAAGATAAAAACTCTTTATCATAAAACACTAAGTTGTCTTTATCCATAGTTCTATGCGAGAGCAGAGCTTCTGAGTAATAAAAACAGTCATGTTTTCCTAGCGCATTAAGCTATTGTGTAAACAAAATATTCAGTACTTCCATTAAAATGTATAATACTATGATATTTTCCACAAGATCTTGTCAAGGAGTATTTAAGTTTCACATAAGGCACTAAGTACATGTAGTTGTTCTGACATTTGTGACATAAATCTCCATTAAATCTAGGCTTAATTTACTGACTGAAATAGACTCAAAGGATTCTTCCTCCTTACAACTATAACATGAAGAAAGGAGAATCTGAGGTGCTGTCGTAGCAGCAAACTTGAACATGAACTCACACACATCAAATACCAACGCTCCATCAAGGCACAGTTGACATAAGCACCTTGAGAAACGGCCTAAAATCTCCACATTGGCTTCAGGATATGTGTTCACAAGCCTATTGTGCTAAATTCTATGCCTGTGGCTCACACACTAACGCAGAGATAAATTCTATTAAGACAGTACGTGGTGAGGGGAAATCACTTGGAATGACTCTTCTAGCTCTGTCTTTGAAACTCCCACCAAATGCCTGGGAGAGGCCATGCAAACAGGGCATGATGAGCACTTGTAGAGGGTTTAGTGGGGCCAAGAGTGGGTATGAGGCATCTCAGACACTGGCGAGGATCCTAGGACTATTAAGGAGGAAGAGTCATCAATGGAGGAGGTTCGAGGTCTCTTCCCTAAAGTGCTGGAGCTGAGACCAGAGGCACCAAAGGCTGACACATAGACCAGCAGACAGAGCAGAGACACCATAAGGAGACCAGCGACTGTGGCAAGAAGACCTAGTCAGAGCAGAGGGGCAGGTGTGAGACTGTGAGACTATGAGAATGAACAGCAGGCAAGCTTCCTAGCCCACGTGACTGAGAGGCTAAGGACCAGAGAGAGAGAGAGAGAGAGAGAGAGAGAGACTTGGTTTCTTCCTGAGGAGAGGGACAGCTGTGAACCAAATACTGAATCTTTAATGTTTTATGGTCTTGACGTGTGGTAATCTATTAACTTCCCTAATAACCCCCCATAATTTTGAGGATTGTCTGAGAGTTCTGAGTGGCCATTGCAAGGCTGCTTTCAGAATGCATAAAGAAAGTTGGTGGGTGCGTAGGTTCAGACATTTGGTGTATGTGCTTGGCTGAGGAGCCAATGGGGCGAAGCTACCATCTGTGGGATTATGACTGAACGCCTCTAAGTCAGAATCCCGCCCAGGA